ATTGAATATGTTTCCGTTTAAAAAAAAAACTCAACTATGAAGATTGCCTGACAAGGAATCATCTGATAAAGTGTTTCCTCCTTGGGAGAATGCATGTTCTGATCATACGCGAATAAAGAAGAATCTATGAGACTTTGTATCAACTAGTGTCAGTTGAACAATTCATTATCCTTTACCTCATATCGATGACTTATTTGATTAGCTTAGAGGATCCATTGTGTTCTCTAAGATTGACTTACGGTCAGGATACTGTTAAATCCTTGTTATGGAAGATGGACAAACTGACAATCAAGAATCGCTACCCTTCATTACGTATAGACGATTTGTTCGAAGAACCTGTTTGTTAGAAGTTATAAACAACTCGATCTTGTTGCATAAACTGATTCCTTTCATGAAGCGATTAATGACTTAATTGCTTATCGTCAAAAATGTCGATGTAACCTGATTGAATAAGTGAAGCAAAGTGATGCTAACAAGACAAATCGATTGATTCGTTTGACGTAAAATACAAAACGAGACGTAAAACAGTAACACCAACAGTGAAAGACTGAAGAATGAAGAAAATGTAGCTGCACTGACCATACAACTTAGAATAATATTTATGACTAACTCGTAATGTTCAAGGACGGTATTATTTCAACATGAATGCAACTTAGATTACATGAGGAAAGTTAAAGATGCAATTCTAGGTCTAATCTCTCAGGATTTGCAAACTCGTCGTAACCGGCTCCCGGACCCGGGAAAGCTTTAGCAAACTCTAGTTTGTCTAAAAGCTCGTCAACAAAGAAAGAAGAAATAAAAAGTTTCCTCTGACTAGAAGCCATGAGGTTCTGTCTCACTGCATCGTCTAAGAATTTGAGAAGGTTATTGAAATAACCGTCAATGTTTAAAAGACCAATGGGTCTATTGTGTAACCCTTCAGAAGCCCACGAGATCAAGGTAAACAAACCTTCCATAGTGTCAACTCCTCCAGGAAGAACAATGAAAGCTTCCACGGCATGATTCATCTCAAAATATTTGTAGTAA